TCGATTTTTTTTTATGATTTTTCGGTCAACTAAGCCCTTAACATGTTTTTTCTACAAGGATACGGCCAAAATCAGCCAAAACTAGCTAGGTTATGGTGGGTGGAGGAGCCGGCGCCGGAGGAAGGTGGCACCGCCATGCCGGAACTCTAAAATTGGCCGGAATGAGTTTTCGACACTGATTTTGAATTTTTGATGTATTTTTAAGTATGTAATGAGTGTTTTGAATTCTCTAAGAAAAAATCAAGGAACCGGTACCCATTAGAAGGCATAGTAGACACTTTGACATATCAAAACACTGATTTAAGTAAAGATCCCTCACCATATTCTCCGTTATAGTAAATTCAGGCTTAATAATATATAATTTTATATTTTTATGAAAAATTAGAAAATCCTAAAAATAATTACAGGTTACTAGTGGAGTTGGAACCGGTTAGTTTACAATTATCTTGAATTCTGTTTATTTTTCTGTATTGTCCTACTTGCTTGATTTTCGTATAACTCATGTTTTTAATTTATAGTTCAATAGTCTTTCAACGTATCTGTTTATCTTGTTTATATACCATAAGCATGAATATAGTTTAATTGATCTGTAAATATGATATGAGATATTGGTATGAGTTTGTTGGTTGTTTATTGATAAAAATCTGCATGTGAAAGACTTGCTGGTTACCCAAGGAAAGGGCAGACAAGCCTGGTACATAGGGAACCCTACCGTGAATGTTACCTCAGTTGGAATGGGGCTAGGAAGTCCCTTACCAAAAAAATTTAGAAGATATGGTTCATCCTCATACCGGATGGGGTATCAAAATAATGGAAATGTTTGACGCCTATTACCAGACGGGGTATAGGGATGACCGGTTAATTGTAAAATTAGATATTTAGTTCACGAGTAGGGAGAGACCCCCATAGATCCGCAGGGGTACCAGTAAGTAGCTAAGAAAGGAAAGTTATTATTTCTCATTCTCTTATGTGTGAAAATGGAAAGTAATATGGATATGGGTCTTCATAGGTTGTTTTCGAAAAATTTATTATGGTAAGTATTAAACAAATGTTTTCAAGTTTCAAATGTATTTAAATAAAATAAGGTCTCCATTAGTTGTTTTTCAGATTTTTTTACAAATCTTCAGTTTTTCGTATCTGTTATTAGTATGATATTCTTTCTGAACTAGTGTAACTCACAATTACATTAATTATTTTAGATCAAGAGAACTAAGATATAGATCTCGATCAGTAAGAGAGTTGTGAGTAGTTCACTATCCAGATTCCCTTCAAGTGCTAATGAATGTTGTCCTAGGATGTTTAGTTATTAGTTTTTTACTTTATTTCTTTAATTTTTGTTTATCTTTTAGAAGTGATATTTTTGTAACCCTATTAGGCATTCAAAATTATTGTGTAAGGAATGTAAATTCTAACTCTATTAATTATTTTCGCATTTAATTTATGAATTTATTTTTTTAAATTTTCGGGTCTTTATAGTTGGTATCAGAGTCGTATTTTTCGGAACTATTCTTTACACAAAGACTTAGAAACACCAAATATAAACTATCACTCAACATTTTCTTGTGAAATACAGGTACAAAAAAATAAGGAGAGGAACACCCCCACTAAATCGAGCAGCCTGGGATGGCTCACTTCGAAAGGATGTTGACCAACTCTTTGAGATACTAGAGAGATTCATCTCTGCTCAATAGACTTGGGAGGAAAGGAGGGAACTACCTGACCCTCTTCCACTACCACAATTTGAGCCACCCTTGTAGCGGGAAGATTCGAAGCCACCCCGACACAACCTTGCTCCTCCACCGTATCATCCGACACCACCACAGGGCCACTTGGTACCTCCCCAGGATAATCCAGTTCATCTTCCATGAGACTCAGTTCCACCTATTATGGACCCAATCTACATTGAAAGGTACAAAAGACTAAACTCATCTACCTTTGTAGGTGTATCATCCTTTGAAGAGGTCGAGTATTGGTTGGCTGAGACAGAGAAGGCCTTCACGACTCTTGGAGTGGTTTTCGAATAGAAGGTTGTACTTGTCACCTATATGCTTGTATGAGAGGTAGGCTGCTGGTGGCAGTTCAAGCAGGCTACCCTGCCCGGTTTAGTTATTTGGGAACTGTTCCTGATGGCCTTCAATGCAGAGTGCCTCCTAGAGCACCTCCGACATTTGAAGAAGATGAAGTTTACACACCTAATCTAGGGTGAGATGACTATGTCAAAATATGCCCGAAGATTCCTAGAGTTTGGTCGATAATCCCCTGAGAGCATGATGGATGAGAGCAAGAAGGTAAAAAAGTTCGAGTGGGGCCTCCACCCTGA